AGAGCCTCAATTCCACACTCAAGCCAACAAGGGACTCAAGGCCACTTTCAAAACAAAGTAAAAAGTGAAGAATAGAGGGAGGTTACAGATATTTTAGTGCTGAAGGACATGCAAAAAGACACTAAATCATGCAAGCAACACATGCAAGCCATGTTTAAAAGCCAAAAACATTAAGCTAGTGAAGATCACAACACCATAGGCATGCAATACAAAGCTCAACTGACCAAATCAGCTCTGGATAGAGTTAAAAACATGCCAAAACAGTGGCTAAAACATGCTGAGATTGAGGCACAAAAGGCTAGAAAAACATGCTTACATGTTAGCTTGTAAACAAGACTCAAGGCACAACTCTCAAAAGCAATGAAAGAGTGAAATAAATGAGCATGTGACAGAGCTGTATACACTAAAATTACATATTAAAGTCACTACAACATGCAAACAATTCAAGCAAAACATGTTTAGAGCCTTAAAACAATGAGCTAGTGAAGGCCATTTGCACTACAACTATACAAAACAAAGCCCACATGACCAAAGCAACTCAAAACAGAGCAAAATCATGCCAAATCAGAGGTAAACACATGCTGGAAACAAGCTAAGATAAGCTACAAAAACAAGCTACCATGTGATGCTAACTAGGCATGCAAGTGAGACATAAGGAGGGGAGGCTAACCCCTCCATTTTTGGACTTTAAAACATACTTTTTACCACTGAAATAACTCTGAATTTCAGTGGTTTAAATGCCCAAAAAGTTTGATTTCAACATGCTAAAAGATGGTGCAAAGGCTCATGCAAACAAGCAACAAGAAGGATAGACAACTCCTTAGCACAACATGGCTTCAAACCAACATTTTAAGGCTCAAAAATCAGAGTTTTTTGTAGTTGAAAACTAGGCCCAAAACAGTGTAAAAAGATGGCCAAGCAAGTATGTACAAAAAGCTTAAATGAGGTAAGCCTTATACCTTTGAAGCACAGCACTAAACAGCCATAATTCTGAGCTAAAACCAGCCTTAGGAGCTCAAACTAAGCCTCAAAGAACCTTAGCTCCAAGATGAGGATGTTTGGTTAAGGGTCTTAGTGCAAAAGTGTAGAGAATTCTAACTATCAAACACAAAACAAGAGAAGAGAGAGAATTCTAGAGAAAGAGAAGGAGAAATTTTTGCTCAAAATTGTCTAACCTCCCAAAAAGAGGGAGAAACCCCCCTCTTATATAGAAAATCAAGCCAAAGGCTTGCATTCATCCCTCCATACACGTGTATGGAGATGGCATTCAGTGAACAACAGCTGGCACAGCTGGCTAAGAAAATATTTGAGAAAGGAGAAAAATGGTCGTCGGCCGCTTTAGGTGATCGACCGGCTACCTCACCTAGCCGACCGACCACTTCAAGTGATTGACAAAGAGGAAAAGTGGCCGACATGGCCCCTCCTCCTTCCACGCAAAAGGCACCAAGGTTTGGCTTAAAAACAAGCACAAAACAAAAAGGATTTAGAGGCTCAAAGACAAGGCGTTCCGCCGAGAACTTCGAGTGCTCAAAACAAGCACAAGAAAACACAATCATCGAGTGCACAAACGATGACATCTAAGTCTTAAGGTCGGTAAAAAATGGGGTGTCTACAAGGCCCGCTTGCTAGCACGACGAGAATCAACATGTGGAATGGCCATGGAGGCTAGGGCGATCACGGTCCCTGAGCTCTGGCCGATGGTAGGAGCAGGAGGTGCCATGCTCGGAAGCTCGGCAGAAGTGGGATGATTAGATTCTTAATCCGGCTCCTCTTTGCCATCTCTTCTTCCTCGGTTAATCTTATTAAGGGCACGTCGGGCAGAGTTGGGTTAGGCGGAGAAAAAGAAGCTCAGAGAAAATTTGTAACCTTGCTCTTGTGGGGAGCTGAACAACGATAAGTCGGGACGTAACCGAGAAGCTCGTGGCAATCTCGATGCCGATATCTTAGCACGACCCTGATTGCCTCTTCGTTCGGATATTGATAGTTGGCTTGTAATTCTTCGATAGCTGCAAAAGGAAGACAATTAGCTTAACGCAATTAATATTGACGAAATAAATCAGTCAAAACAGATGGGCTTACAAGAAGAACCGAAGTTCTTCTGATGAACCAATTGGGCACGTCAGCCGTTTCATAGTTGCCAGACACCCAGAAGAAATCATCATCGTGCATATCCTTGTCTGGTGTGCCGGTCACTGAACGTTCCCTGCCCGGTCGTATTTTCAAATAGTAGTTGAAACCGTCTTTTGTTCGACCGAACGTGTATTGACGCAAGATTTCGGCCAGGCCCAGATTTAAACCAAGCCCGTGGTTTAACTCGGCCACGCCGTTTATAATTCTGAAGGTGTTGTTGGGCACTTGCGTTGGAGCGAGCTCGGTTCTTCTCAAGAACTTGCAGATCAAGGGTTGTATAGGGAATCGTAGTCCCCCTTCTATTATGTTCAGCACGGTGAAGGGGCAGGAGTCCAGCCTATCCCATGGATTTATGTCCTCCTTACCGAGCTCCAAATGCACATCGGCCGGGATGCTGTACTCTTCTCGGAACGCGGCCAGCGCGCCCGGTGTATTAACTAGGAAGCGGTAGCGCCCCTTGGAAGGCCAGCTTGTTCAGTACGGCAGTGTTAAATTGGCAAAGTATTGCACAGTGGCTGCTCGATCTTTGAGAGTCTTTGTGTTGGTGTGCCTGGTCCCCTAGGACTCTATAGTTAAAAACCAAGTGTAAGTGATAGCGCGTTCGCGCAAACGAGCTCGACTTTAGCTTGGTCACTTTGGGCGCAAGAGCACCTCGGTCTTGTTGGATAACTAGACAGCTCGGTCGCTCGAGCGAACTAGATATTAGCCCGGTCGAATGGCCCAGCGCTTTACTAGCTCGGTTTTCACTAAAAGTTTTATAAACAAGATACTTGCTCGGTTCACTAATGATTTTGGATCAAACGAATGTTTGTAGCCCAGTCAGTCCTAGATTCTCACGTGTTCATCACAAAAAGATAATGAATAGTGTCAAGGACAAGAGGGGGGGGCAATGACAGCTTTTGTAATCACAATGGAAAAGAACCCTAGCCTACCTTCATTCGAAGACACGAGACCTACTGATTATCACGCCCTAGACTCATCTATAGGAGTTGAGTTTAAGAACACAACAAGCCCAAAACCATGAAGAACAATTAAGAACAACAAAGGGCGTTCGATGGACTTACGGGTTGGGGCGAGAATCGGAGTTCCAGACAGAGATATGCTTTCACGTGACAATGGCGAGGCCAAATCCACCAGAGAAATGCTTTAATGTGAGCTAGAAATGCAGAAAATAGGGGTAGTCGCACTGTAGCTCAAGATCTTTGGGTTGTCTGAGAGAGGAAATGAACAGTAGAAGAAGAAATACGAAGGGGCACACAGCGTATGTATAAGGAGAGAAGAGGCGTCAAAATTTGAAACTGAAGAGACGGCGTAGGGCTGCTGGGTTGGCTGCACGAGGCCAATGAACGGAGGACATGTGCCTGTGACAATACTGGTGACAGTCTTGAAAGGACAGGCAGAAAAGTCGAAGCGCCAACCAAGTAAGTCATGAGGCCGAGCGTCAAAGTAAGCTCGGCCAATTCGTGGTCCCCACACTACACCCCGAGTACGAGGAAAACAGGTAATAAATATAAGGGCAATCACATCCGAACAATAATACAGAATTCTATTCGCTATGTTTGGTTCCATTTTTCTAAAAACAGTTTTCAGAAAATTTTACTTTCTTATTTTTCGTGTTTTTTTGTTTTTACTAAATTTTTTTAATATTTTATGAAAATTTTTTACTTTTTAGATATACCTAATATAAATACACCTAAAAAGTAAAAAAAATTATTAAAAAAATCTTTTAAAAATTCACTTAATACCAAAAATACAAAAAAAAAATACAAGAATTCAGTACAATTTTTATATTTTTATGTATTTCTTAATTTTTAAAAATATTTTTTTTATATTTTTTTTTTACTTTTTAGATACATTTAAGTAAGGTACATCTAAAAAAGTAAAAAAAAATGATTAAAATTTTAAAAATATTCACTAAAAATAAAAAAAATACGAAAACTAAAAAATTCAATTTTTAAAAAATTTAATCCAAAAAATTCAAACTAAACACACTGATTAATGTCACAATAAAAAAAATATTTTGAAATGTGACGTCACGATTTTACTATTTACTTACCAGAGAAATGCCACATATTCCGGGACCCTCACAACCCTCACACCATTGTGAGAGAGAGGGAAGAGAAATATATATATATATATATAAAATAAGTGAACACAACTAAACATAAAATATAATACAAAAAATAAATGAATTATAGGATTTTCAAGAAGTGAGATTCATAAATAAATGTTGTAAAATCTTGTATATTCATATACTTTTTGTGTATTTTTTTATACTTCTAATCCTTAAAATGACATTAAAATAATTTGCATTTTTTGCATTAGGTCCATCTAATGGTTTAGTAAGCACAGATGTAATAAATTTCATAACACAAAACAAACAATTGTGAAATAAAATATCTAAAAAAAATGAAAGCAACATTCAATGATAGATACACCTTACTTAGATGTATCTAAAAAATAAAAAATTTGTAAAAAAATATTTTAAAAAATTAATAAATACATAAAAATACAAAAAAATGTACCGAATTCTCGTTTTTTTTTTTTGTATTTTTGGTATTTAGTGAATTTTTAAAACGTTTTTTTCACAATTTTTTTTGCTTTTTAGGTATATTTATGTTAGGTATGTCTAGAAAGTAAAAAAAATTGCTTAAAATATTAAAAAAATTCAGTAAAAATAAAAAAACTAACCATAACCACAAAAAATTAACTAACCATAAAAATAAAAAAAAATCAATAAAAATATTAAAAAGTAAAATTTTTTGAAAAGTATTTTTTTGAAAAACCTAACCAAGCAAGCTTCCAAGGGATATTCCTGAAGAAATTTATAAAAGGAAAGGAATAGACTACAGAAAAGTGAAAATAAAAAAAAAAAACAAAAATTCAATTTGTAGGACTTCTTATACAAAGACTTGTACAATTGCTGCATAGAGTTTGGCCAACATCAATATCAATTCTATATTGCATATATATAGAACTGGATATCTTAACACTTGAAGATCAGAATGACATAACCAAAGTACCTGTCATGTTTTGTAGGCTACGAGGAGAAACCAAGAGTAATTGGCCAAAAATAAAGCACGAATCATATCTCTGCAGTTCGATGAACTGGAGGTGTTTAATAACTTGATTCACGATGCCAAAAAGAATGAGAGATGAAAAGTACATTAAAATTGTTTAATTGATGCAAAAAGAATGTGAGATTACATGTATATATATATATATATATATTCATTGTTGAATTGGCAGAACGAAAGAACTGAACTTTCAATCATGTGTCAGGTCTTCCACAACCACAAACACAAAAAGTGTTTCACAAATTGCAGCACTAATTTGGAGAAAATCCATACGAGAAGTACATACATTAATCCGACATTCTCTGCTTTCGCCAAGGCATTTGATGGTTCAGAAAATTCCAAATACCCCATGGACCTGTATACTGAGTGAAACAGCCATCAGATAGGCATGATTTTGGGATTAACAAGCCAATCGAGGTAAAATTGAATAATCCCCATCTTCTGGCTGGAAAGAAGAGTGAAAGGGGTTACACAAGAAAACTTAACAATGAAGTGGTACACCAAAGCAAGGATGATGCATCTTGAGAAGTAGTTAAATATTAATTTAAAATAGTAAATAAAGCAGAATGAGATTGCTGAAGAGCATGCAGGCTAGTTGAGGTGATTACATATTCAGAAAAAAAAGAAAAGAAAGAAAGGACACACACTTCAAGCAATATCCCCCAACCATGAATCTTTCTGAATATATATCCAAATGGTGAAATAATATTTAAAATTCATCACACCATTTATAACAATCATGAAAAGAACTTTCAAATCAAACAACCAAGACCAATATACAAAATGTTAAACTTTAACTGCACATATGTAAAGGAAAAGCAGGAACAAATGTAATTCAAGTCACTACCTCCATTCTCCTAATGCAGCTAGAAGAGGCTTCTGCTTACAATCTGGGCCTCTTGCAACCTATGCATTCCTTAATGCCGCAGGCTGGACCTTACCAACCCCACTACATTTTGGCCACAGCAGACAGATCCTCATTTGAGAACAAGTCGTCTATTCCTTTAACGCTCATGTCTGAGCAGATAACCTGGGCCTCTTGCAACCTCCCTTGCTTTCTAAGGCCAGATACAAGCTCATTACAGCTACTGATGTCGGGCAGGAAACCATTCTCAAGCATGTCTCTATACCAAACATATGCTCCACTGAAATCTTTCAGATGGCAATGTCCCTTAATCAGTATGCTATAAGTATCAGCTTTAGGGACCAATCCTCTAGCCTTCATATCATCAACAAGATCCTTTACTTTCCCCACCTTTCCCTCTTTGAAACGAGCCGTAATCAAGCTATTGTAGGTCATCTTGTCAGGCTGAATTCCATGATCAACCATCTCATGGTGCAAAGAAAAAGCCTTTTCAACATCTCCGTGCTCTGCATAACAATGAATACGTTCATTATATACAAGTCGATCAGGAGTCAAGTTCATCTGTGACATTTCTTGGACCATTTTCTCTAGGAGCACCAGCCCACCCTTGCTGCATACACTAATTAGAGGATGAAATGTATTTAAGGTAGGTTTAATGCCATCCTTCTTCATATTCTCATATAACTCTGTAGCCCTCTCGGTGTTCCCTGTGTCAGAATAACCTGAGATCAGGGAATTATAAGTGATAACATCAGGTTTTAAACCTTTGCTTGCAATCTGAAGTGCCAATTCTTCAGCTTCCACTACCCTACCCTTCTTGCAGAGACCATGAATGAGTGAATTGTATGTTACAACTGTTGGAACGATCTCATATTTTAACATTTCATCAAAAAATCTGAAAGCAGCTTTCAACTTCCCTGCCGTGCAATGACCATCGATGAGCATATTATATATCTGTGCATTCGGTAAAACCTCTCTGCTGATCATATCCCTAAGGATAATTTCAGCTTCTAGAAGCCTACCATCCTTGCATAAACAATTTACCAACGAACCATAGCTTACAACGTTGGGCTTTAACCCATTATTTTCCATTTCCTCAAGAATCTGGAAACACCTATCAAATTGGCAACTCTTTCCATACCCATCAATTAGGATGTTGTATGTCTGCAAATTTGGGAGAGCTCCTTTCTCCGCCATCTTCTTAACCCATTCCATAGCCTCATCCATATCGCCCAATTCACAAAACTTGTTGATCAGTGAATTGAATGTGATGCAGCTTGGCTTCAACCCACGAATTTCCATTTGTTCAAGGGTTGAAACGGCTTTCCCCATTTCACCAGTGCGACAATACCCATTCAAAATCGTGTTATATATCACCTCTGTTGGAACAAGCCCATTTTCAATCAACTTCCTCAAAACCTCCTCAGCTTTATCCACTTTTCCATCCTTGCACAACCCATTCAACAAAATGCTGCAAGTATAATCATTGATCTTCACACCTTGCTTTTCCACTTCTTCATATAAAGCCAACGAAGCATCCACATTACCACACCTCAAATGCCCATCAAAAAGTATACTATAAGTGAATCCATCAGGCACAAACCCACAAGCTTCCATCTCCTCCAACACCTTCTTTGCTTCCTCCATCTTCCGAGCCCGACACAACCCACTAAGCAATGAATTAAAAGTAACAAGATTTGGCTCCACATTCTCCGCCTTCATTCTTTCGCGAACATTAAACGCCTCCTCCAAATTCCCCACCTTACAATACCCATCAATAAGCGTATTAAACGTAACACGATTCGCAACCACTCTCCTCTTAGTCATTTCATCAAACAGCTTCTTTGCATCCTCAATTCTCTTCTCTTTACACAACCCACCAATCAACACATTATAAACAAACCCATTAGGACTCAACCCACATCTTTTCATACAATTCAACATACCCATAGCCCTCTTCAAGTCCCCCAACTTCACCGCCGATTGTACCGCCTTACCATAAGTAAATCTATCAACCCGAATCCCAGAATCAATTACTTCCGAAAACAAATCAAGGGTCTTGCTATACTGACCCGAACAGACCAGAGATTCAAGGAAAAGATTGAAGGAAGACAAAGAAGGAAACACACCATCTTTCTTGATTAACATGTACAACTCTGTGGCCTCACTGGGTTTGTTCGAGTCAGCACAGACTGAAAGCAACATGTTGGAGAAAGTGGATTTTAAGGAAGGGGAAGAGAGAGAGAAGAGAGAGAAGAGTTCGGAGGGAGAAGAGAAAGGAGAATTGGAGAGAATGAGGGACTTGATAAGCCGTTGGGCGGTTTCGGAGCGACCCTGTTGGAGGAGAATTCGAAGCTTTCGGACTTGTTCTTGGCGGTCTTGGTCTTGAAGATTGGTGGGTTTGTTGTTGTTTTGGGATGGGTTTGAAATGGGTTCAACATGGTCGAGCTTGATGGGTATGGAGTGAGAAGAGAGGGATTTGGAGAGTGAGAGAGGAGAAGAAGAAGAAGAAGAAGAGCGCTTGTTTGTGGGGAGTTTGGGAAGCAGATTGAACCTGTTCGCCATTTTTTCGTTATTCTGACACCACTCTCTTCGTGTGTTTTAAGTCACTTGGTGTGCTTGCGTTTTTTTTTAAAATTAAAACGACATCGTGTAACATAGATGGCTTGAATTTCTGAATCTAAAAAAAAAATTAGTTTGATGAGAAAAAATATATTTTTAAAATTATTTTTATTCTGTCAAAATATAATATTATATAAAAATTATTTGTGTTTTTAAATTTTTTTTATCAATTTAATTTTTAATTTCTTTTAAAAAAATTGAAAATCATATCAAATAATGCCGCAAATCTAAGTCATTGGGTTTGTTTGGTTTTATCTGTGTTTGGTAAAAGAGTCACTTAGGATTCATTGGAGAATTGATTTTTTCGTGACTTTTTATTTTTTTAATTATAAAAAGATATCTAAAAAAATATAAATAATAATTTGATTACTTGTAATAACTTTTTAACTAAAAATTTTACTTGTCAAACAAAGTCTTACAAATGCGCTTAACTACTCCATTTTGGACAAGTCAATCATTAACTGATTAATTGCTAAACAAAAACAGTGTTCAGTGAGTCCATTGGATATGCCCAAAAATGTTTTGTATATATGAGAGATAAAAGAATTTTGAAATAAGTTATTCTGAATCACAAAATATAAATCCAACACAAATTAACTTCATTTCAAAATGAAATAATTTTATCTGGCTCCCATATTCACCAATCAAATATGACATTCGAGATTGATTTGAGGATGATACCACACACTCCAACATAGTGGGCTATAAGGTGAGAAGTCTTACAAATGCGCTTAATTACTCCATTTTGGACAAGTCAATCATTAACTGATTAATTGCTAAACAAAAACAGTGTTCAGTGAGCCCATTGGATATGCCCAAAAATGTTTTGTATATATGTGAGATAAAAGAATTTTGAAATAAGTTATTCTGAATCACAAAATATAAATCCAACACAAATTAACTTCATTTCAAAATGAAATAATTTTATCTGGCTCCCATATTCACCCATCAAATATGACATTCGAGATTGATTTGAGGATGATACCACACACTCCAACATAGTGGGCTATAAGGTGAGTGTGGCCCATGAGCCTGTACTGAACATTTTGGCCCATGAAGAAAGTCCAGTTGCACACATCAAGGACACATATGACCATGTTCCTAGGTCATGTAGTGAAACTGAACATGTCCAATTGTTGAGTGTGTTGTGGGAAATTGGCTTGAGACACCTTACTATGCAAGGGTTCAAAAGATAGATGAAAGGAAATAATTTAAAAAAAAAGCTTTTAGGTTAATCAGAAAATTGAAATAAATCGATTTCTTTTTCATGCCTTGATGTCACGAGTTGACTAGAGATTCTTGCATGCGATCATGGAGCTGTCGTCAAGTAATTTGAACAGACATGGAGGCATTTGTGCAATGCTTTTATGGGAGAGGCTTGAACATGTATTTGCTATGCTTCACAGGCGCTCCTGGGGAATGCCATCTAGAGCTGATGTGAGCTATTGTCAATTCGGATTTGACCATGTCAATGGGTCTTGTGGCCAGGAGGCATACACTATAGGGGTAGTGTTGCAACTTGTGGGCAATCAGAGATGGTGTGAAGCCGACTTGACTTATGTTAGGCATCATGTTAGTGCAACGGTAGGAGTGCATCGTGGGCACACAAGTGAAACTTTAGTGATGTGCAATGGCAAGAGTGTCATCTTGCCTATTCGAAACAGATGCGTGTCCACTATTTCAGAGGACTATGCTTGCTGAGGCCGAGCTAGGATTATTAACTTAGAGTGGCTAAAGGGAAAGGAAAAAACAATTTGGAGGGACCACTAAACGAAATGAACTAACTTCGCATGAAAGCTCAAAAGCTAAAAAGTCATCATAAATTATTATATCACTTTCTTTATTTTTTAACATGTCTTTGTGAGAATATATATTGTATATATGGTATCTTATATATTAACAATTAGGCAATTTTCTTGCTTGTGTATATTACAAATTAGGCAATTTCCTTTTCTTTGTATTTCATTTTTCTGACATTGATTAGGGCTATAAAACTGATGCACTCTTTGTAAACATAATTAAGTTGAATATACAGAACTATAAAAATCTTACATGGTATCAAAGCCTGGTTCGAAATCTTAGCAGCCATTGTTGAAGCTTTTCCATTTCGTTGAACTCTTTAGTTCAACCTTGTGAATATGTGTGACCCATTCAAGATTGGGTTCGTTGAACTCTTTGGTTCAACCTTATGAATACGTGCGACCCATTCAAGATTGGGTTCGGTTCATCTGGTCTCTGTTCAAGTCAATCGTGGTCGATCTCCTCTCTCACCAGACTCGCAATCCTGGTCTCCCTGTCTCTTCTTCAGATCGGCCGTCGCCGTTCAGATTCGTTGTCTCACCGTCGCCTTGTTCCTCTCTGTTTGTAAGTTTGCCTCTGTGTTGTCTATTCAGATACGTCGTTGACATTTAGCTTCGCCATCTCTCTCGTATCGAGCTCTCTGTTTGACCCCTCTGATTAAATTGTTTTACTTATACTCGGACACCATAAAACCTTGCTTTATTATGATGTCGGAAGATAAAATCCAAGCTGTTAAATGCAAACTTACATGTGACAACTATACTTATTGGTCTAGTGTTATGAAATTTTTTTTGCTCTGTCGAAAAAAATGGGGATATGTTTCTGGTTCTGTTCCTCATCTATTAGATCCAAAATGTCACGTCCCAAAATTTAGACAATTAAATATTAAATTAGGACTAAACCCCAATCAATATTTCATCATTTAAATCCTAGGAGTGAAACAAAAAAAAACTAAACGCCAACCAAACCATCCATCATAATCTCATAAATATCTAATACCTCAAACATTAAAGTAACAATAAATAGTCAAAACAACTTAAATAATGTACGGTTACAAACCATGCCAAATTATCCCAATACTAAAGTCATAAAACAAAATAATAAATACATAAACTAATATCAATCCTAAGCTCAAGAAAACAAGAGAAGTCCAAACGACAAGTCCAATAACTATAGTAATTCCACGTCACCACCGTAGTCCCAACTAATCCTGCAAAGAAAGCTTGACTGTGCTCAAATAAAACGTACCCAAGTTGCCAAGAGACAAAACGGGTCAGTATACAGATATACTGGTGTGAGTACAAATTTAACACCCATGTGTCTACTAGACACAAACAAAAATATATTTGATTCTTGTTACGGGACAAGACAAGTAGTTTCAACCGCACCGAGACAAATGTGTAGTTTCCCGAGATACGGTGGTATTTAGTTTCTTGCCCGTACACAACGAAATATAAAATGATTATAAAAAAAAATAAAAATAAAAATATAGTGGGTCAACCCTGCATAAAAAAGTTAGTGAGACCCACCATCCTGCACAAAAAATAAAGTTAGTATAATTTAATTATAAGTAACTTGCTGAAGAAGTATAAAAATGCACCGTTTCATGCTGAAATAATTTGAATTGACCAAAACTCAAAGAACGAAAGTTGTACAAAATTAAATTTCCTAAAAGACAATATGAACGAATTTAACAGAAACTGAACAGGTTGAGAGAAAAACTTGATAAAAAAGCCTAGACGGAATTCAATCGAAAAATCTGAAACTGAAAACGAACAAAAATTGCCCTAAGATGATTTTTTTTAGAAAAGTTCAAAACACGAAAAGTGTGCAGAATAATTTTTTTACTTTAATTATATGAAACTAATAAAAATAAGCTCGTTTCGTGGGTTAAAATAGCTTCTAAAATCTGCATTGTTAAAATAAATCAAAATTACAATATTTAAGATTATCCGATTATAAATTCTAATTGATCTTTTTAATAAAAAGTTAAAATACAAAAGTTGTGTAGAATCACGTATACATGCCTCTTATCAAATTTCATAATTTATCGAGGTCGTTTACTATTTTTCAAGATGTATAAATCAATACAATTCACACTATACTAATAAACTCATGATTAAATTCTTTGTACCTTAACTCCACCACTTCGGCCCATCATTTCCGGCCTACACATATATCCCATGTGCCTCCCGTATACCTAACACCACTCCGAAGCCAAACTTGTACAGGAATATCGTCTCGAGTTTGACTCAGACTCCCCGAATGGTTAGCATATACGTATGCGCGTAAATTAAAACACTCGTTTACTCATGAGAACAAGGCAACTATATACATATACAAAGCATCTCACTCATGAGAACAACATAACAATGCCAAGCCTAAGACATTCAAATAAATCTCATAATCCTCATTTTGTTTTATACGCTCTTTCTCACCAACACTCAAATAAAACAACAATCCATGGAGTCATGGTGGAGTATAAGGAATTTATCTATGGGTTCCTAATTAATTTTAATTTCATAAAGCCATGAGTGTGATTACAGTCATAAAATAAATCCATATAAAAAATCCTAAACCTGACATACATAACTAGTCAAAATAATTAATCATTCAATCAACTAAAAACCCTAAACTTTACATACACAACTAAACAAAATAATTAAAATTAATCAATCATCTAAATGCTACTATGAAATCAATTCATCATCAAATAAATAAATAAAAATAACGAATTAAACATAAATAAAAGAAAGTGAATTTTATACTCACAATATTTTTTTAAAGATCAAAGAAATATTTAAAGAATTAATAGAATCACCAAAACAAAATCCTAACCCTTTCTTTTTCTTTCCTCTCCCCTTGCCGACGTCCCTCTGCTCTCTCTCAATTTCTTTGATTAATCTCTCTCTATATATTCCCCTTCTACGACTGCTGATGGAAACTCTTTCTCTTTCACCATAAAGTGATTAAACCTAGTTGGCTACTTATATTATATTATATATATAATAACTTAATTTCTTATTATATTATATTATACAAATAAATCACATATATAAATATAAATATAAATATTTTATATAAAATTTATATTAATAATTTATTTTTTAATATATATATATAAATATATAAATATAAATATTTAGATTAATTATATAT